TGTTCTGATATGTGCCGCCAAATCCCTGCTTCAGAGGGTAACCATAATCCGTAATACTATCAAGGACAGAATTTTTTTATATAGAGAGAGTATTTGAGACAAACGGAATTAATACCATTTGGATTCTCAAAAACTCAAAATATACTTGAATTTGTTCAATCTCCAAAATGGACCGAGTTTGGTTCTGACAAAACGTTTGATTTTTCAACATTGTATCCCACTGTCCCACATGAGTAACTTAAGGAAAAACATGGTAAACAAAGATATATAGAGAATCTCACCCTCGTGTCTTCTGATCTCTAATATATCACCACGAGTTGATAAAGTAACAAATACCCGAGGCTTGCCGAGGATATATTTACTTTTATCAACGAGTGTTGATATATTTGATATCAGAAGACACAAGGGTGAGATTCTGTTTATCATCAAAAATCACTCTTCATTAGTTTTAAATGAAAAATGTACTGAACACAGTACTGCCATTAGATTTGCAGTGCAGCGATGTAATAGCATTGTGACGTCATCAAGTTCATGACGTCATAGCATTGTCAGGGCATTGTGCAAAATCTACTGTCAAAACGATATCTCCTAGGTTCTGTTCGATCTCACACAAGCGATATCTCCTGTGGAAGACAGTTTTGGATGATAAACTTAAATATCTATCTTCAGAGGTTCGGGACAATTTGACAAAAAGGACAGCACATGTCTACATTCACTGAGAAACAATATGTGAAATGCTTGACTTCCTTATTTATAACATCTTTTTAAAATTTGGGGGTAGGGCATTCAGACAAGAAGTATTCATCCAGATGGACATCAATTGAGCTCCCGTCCTTGAGGATCTGTTTCTTCATCGATTGTTGAGCTGTTGAGCTCTAATACCATTTATAGCTGGGCCAAGCAAACGCATATAGTCAGAATTGTATAATCGGTTCTGTTTTTGAGGAAACGGAATTGTCGTGTCAGTTATCATTCTCTTATGTTTCTGAACCCGTGAAGGTCCGGGTTGGAATGAACCTTCAGTAACCCATGCTTGTCGTAAGAGGCGACTAACGGGATCGGGTGGTGAGGCTCGCTGACTTGGTTGACACATGCCATCGGTTCCCAATTGCGCAGATCGATGGTCATGCTGATCACTGGATTGTCTGGTCCAGACTCGATTATTTACAGACCGCCGCCATATAGCTGGAATATTGCTGAGTGAGGCGTAAAACTAAACTCACTCACTCACTCTTCTGTTTCTGATTCTGAACTTTCATACCTGACAACATCATGAACATGTCATTTTCATAGTCACTGTTAATGTTAGCAAGATACGCAGAGAACAGTTCCTGCTGTTTGGTGGCGTTCTTTAAGTAGATGGGATCTGGGTAGCCACTACGATTTGGGTCCCCTGGCCACTGCAAATGATTTGGTCAGAATAATACACAAAATCAGGTTGATGTTTTCCACGAATCAAACAAACTGGAATAAACGGGAATCCATGTACTCAACGTTATCGAAATATTTGTCTTGTGTATTTGCTCCTGCATAATCTTTGTGAAACCTTCAACATCAATGCTGGTGATTGAATATACCTGATAAGAATTCACGTTATTTCAGAAAGATCAGTTACTTGTGAATAAAATGATCAACGAAATGAAATCAGTGGTTATGGTATAAACGTAATTCTATATAAGACTGTCACGCAGGATCAATAATATGACCTTCCTTCTTCCAAATATTTATGGGGCGGTAAGGTAGTCTAGTGGTACAATGTGTGAAGCCCATTTCTGGTGTCCGCCGCCGTGCTATTCCTAAAAGCGGCGTCAAACCAAACTCACTCACTCACTCCAAACATTGTAATCGTAACCTGCTCTCACATCTTGAAAGAGACGATCATTCAGATCTCTGAGTATCCAGGGCGCACCATCAGTCCGAATGCTTCGACATCTTGGGATAAGAGTCTCTTGATCAAGACCATTATGATTGTTCCATCTGACACTATCGTAGCGGACACTATGTCTCTGTGCCAACCACTGGGGGTAGATCGTTACAGTTGTGTCACTGTATACACTGCTTATTGGCAGGCACACGACGAGAAAGACCTGAATCCAGTTCATTTTCTGTAAACTGTAAACACATGTTGAATGTTTCGATAAAATACATGACAGTGACAACGTTATCTGTAAAGTATTCTTATTATAAACCCTGACACATGTTTACTATGACAAGGGTATCTCTTGTCTCGTGTATCTCATATATAGACCCATTTGCACATATATACCCTCATATGCAAACATTAGAACATGCCTGTATGATAAGACATACTAACCAATCCACTCATATTTTGTTCCAATGAATCAACTGACCTTCAGTTATCTTTCACTCACTTTAATATGACATTTAAACCATTACAAATCTGGTCCCTCGGCCGTATGCTTGTCGTACCAGGTGAATTATAGAGTATGGTTGATCTGTTCCAGATTGATTATTTATAGGCTGTCTTCATATGGCTGGAATGTGAATCTCAAACAACAAACACTATTCTTTGACGACATTTCTTGAATTTCTCGCGTGCATCTGTCATGCACGAGGCAACATTTATACTCACATAAAAAGAATTATTCAAATTCAGCTAGGATTTTATACACTTACCTCTTTTGGTCTTACCCAAACAAGCCACCAGCAGCTGTTTACCTTCACTTTATAGTAATTTCTTATCTTTGTGTTGTGTGACATTTCACATAACAGACTTTTTTTCAAGGCCATCATCGCGTGATTCCTGGCGTGTATAGTTTTTGGGGTCATTTTGGCTATTTTGAAGGGCGTTATCATCAGATAATTTTTAACATATGCATTTCCGTTTGGATTTGACGATGCCATTGCCTTATCTCTAAATCGTAGACGAGATATTTGTCTTCTAGACCATTGTACTAGTTTCACCTGTCAATTTTCTCCTGATGCAAAAACTCGCCAAGAGCCGCCAACTATCTATAAAACAAGAACCTTTTGTACAGGTATTTCAAATGCAAAAATGTCATTTTTAGATCTGTAGTTAATAAAACTTTTGCCACAGCCACTTGCACCATGCCAACTATCAGTTTAGACCATGTGATTATCAGTTTAGACCATGTGATTATGCTGCTCGATCACCCACAGCCACTTCTATTATGACAACTATCAGTTTAGACCATGTGAATGCTTATGTTGCTTCCCAAATGCAAATCTTTGCATGTTGCATGGTGATCTCGGTTCCTTCGTTCGTGAACTTCGTACGTCAGCGTGAAGAGGTCATTATGCAACGACGTCTTATCGGCATGCAAGATACCATCACGAATATTTATTGAAAGGTGAGGATCCTCCATTTTTTATCCCTTGTGATGATGATATCACGGTCAAGTATATCCTGCTTGACTGTATTGATTTTCCATTATAAGGATGAATATTTCAAATCACTAACTATGGGGGATCTTTTTAAAAATATAAGTCGTAATTTGATATTTGGATTTATTAAAAGAAATTGATTTAATTAATAAACTTTGATTAAGTACTATAGTTGGGAATTTGATTTTACATTTGGTCGACTGAATACATAACTATGATCGTGTGTGGCTGTACCCTCAAAGGGGGGTTGACATAATTATCCTCCTACATCGTTCAAAATATGTTTCGCATTGCCAGGGTTTTAATCGTATCAGTTTTGTGAACGTTTGTTAAGTTTGGCTAAAATTGCTCATAATCACCTTTTGCTAGTGGGATGGTGTAAATCCTGCTGAGGTCTATGTAGGAAGACAAGGTACTGTAAGTCCCCATGGTCCCTAGTATGGTGATCTCCCTTTAACTGCTGGTGATCCTGCTTTCATATTGTACTGTTACATACGGTGATATATTTTATGTGTACATGCTAGTTTTAAAACAACATCTGTGATAGTCTAGTTATTTTACAGTCCTTTGATCACTGGATTGTATAAAAACAACATGTATTTACAGGGTATGCAAAGCTTTTGTAGTCACGGAATAACTGAAATACTGCCGATGTGACTCTAAATTTTCACTCACTCACTCACATTTCAGAGTATACTAAATGCTTAGATCGATGCTCATGATATAAATCACAGACTGCCTGGACACGCTTGGTTATTTACTGACCGAAATTATTCAGCTTAAATATTGCAAGGTGCGGCATGTTAGCAATCTTCTGGAAAATGTCCTTATGTTATACTGACCGCCTCCGTGGTGTAGTTGTTAGAGCGTCCGCCCGGAGAGCGGAAGGTTGCGGGTTCGATCCCCGACCGCGTCATACCAAAAGACGTTAAAATATGGTACTTGTTGGTCCCTGCCTGGCGCTCGGCATTAATGGGAACAACAAGGACTGGTCGGCTGGGAGTCAGTATAATGTGTCTGAGTGGGGTATTCATGCTTCACTGCAACATGGTATCTCAGTGGGCTAGCACTATAAAACCAGCTTCAGTCTGGGCTAGTACAAGCAGCCGCACATACACATACACACGCATGCACGTAGTAAATGAGCGAAATATTCTCAAGCACGACGTTAAACCCAATTTCACCTCACCTTATGTTATACTAAACCAGATTTTACAGATTTACAAGACTATTGCTTGAACGGTTTTCTTTTTATGTTATCAATTTGTCTTATCTATTAACACGGTGACCTCCTTAATATGCTGTTGCCTATAACCCAGTGTGCAACAAAGAAACGTGACTGCCAATCTGCATACATCTGTCATGTGTTTTTTTAAATAAAGCTACTAACAAGCCCGAATAAGGGCACGAGAGGGAAATATATTATTAAACAACGTCTATTGTATTGAAGTTGCCCTGTTTGGATTCCATGGTAGTATAATTGTGTCCAACTGACTCAACCGACTCAATTTATTCGGTTGTCAGACCACTATACCCATGATCTCAATTATCGGCTTGTCTGTTCAAAAATTTGTATTACTTATCACAATCACTTTGACTGGCACCATTAAATACATGGAGACAAGGTATGCTTAACATAGGTTTATTCCAGCAAATTCACGTTAACAGTGTCACGTCCATTGAGGAATATTTCAGAATAATTGTTATTATTATGACTTCAGCTGGACAATTTGCCCGTGACAAGAGCCACTGAAGAAATGTATCCCGCTGCCATGTTGTTTGAGAAGTGAACTAGTACCTGGTTAGCCCCTGTGACAAACACTGATGTGGGGACTACAAACTCCCAAACTTCCCAACTGGTGGTGCTGTCAAGCTTGTCAGAATCATACAGCTTATGGAAAGAGTGAAGAGGGTGGAGGTTAAAGGTTATGTATGTAACATTGTTTGTTACGTTAATCGGCCAACTGGTCGAAACTCTCAGTCTTGCACTGTCGTACTGGCCATTTGGTAGAGATATCACTGTCGAGACGACATTGCCCTTGATTGGTATAACTGTGTCAGTTCCATAATATGTGGTTTCCTTGAGAGTGACCGAAGGTAGTTGATTTGAAGATGTTTTAAATGTAAAGCGACATGTTGCTTCAGGGGGAAGTTCAACCATTCCTTGAGTTTTCCCTATGTCGAAGGGTTTGTTGAAGGTCATGGCCGGGTACCAGTTGTCCTTGATTGTGATGCAGGTGGCTTCTCCAGTGGTTGGTTTGATCCATCCGTTCTGAAATACTAACTTGACTTTCTGTGACTTCTGAGAATAGCTGTGTAAGAGAATGACTGTTTCATTATACAGTGAACTGGCCATCGCTAAGGGTGACACCGTTCTTTCGTCTCCATCATACTGACTCATGATTCTGATGAAGGAGTAGTCTGACGTGAAATTGTACCAAAACCTGTACACATCGACATTATTTGTAGCTTTACCTTGGAGAGTGAAAAGTGACCAGTTGAGACTGTCATGTCCTGGGAATTGTTCATTGGCTAAAAGAAACACTACCGATCTGTCAATGTATTCTCTGAGACCAAGTTGAGTGAATCTGTGTGCATTGGAGTGATATATTGTTGAAAAATCTGTTATACCTGATGGAGCATACTTGTCCATGCCTACAACGCGATCGCGACCATATTCACTGATAACTAGTGGGATAATTTTCCCTTTTTTGAGATAAGCATAATTTTCAACTAGATCAACAAATGCTACAAGGCGTGCTTCATTCATCCCAGCAAATCGATGAGATTTGCCTGAAACAATCAGTGAGTTGTACGAATGGAACGAAAACGCATCTAGATAGTCTAAAGTGGTGTCCATGAACTGTGTCACTTTGCTCTAAAAAGGAAAAGTCGTGTTTATCCATCACCCCAGAATACCCGGTGAGTGTAGGACCAACCACGTGGATGTTAAATCTGGCATGGAGTTTCTCAGCCACCAGTTTATGTAAAATGGAGACGGTCGTGAAGTTCATTATCTTCCAGTGAGAATCGGGTTCATTGATGGGTTCGAAGTAAGCTGGGATCCTGCCTTTTGTGTAATCATAGATTCCTTGCACCAGCAACACCATGAACTCTGCAGCAGCATCGACGTTGTTGGGGAACTGACCCTTGTGTTGGGACTGGTTCATCCAAGTTGGAAACACATGACCTGAAAAAAGCGAGAAGACGAGATATTTGAAATGAATGTAAAATATTTGTTTTCATTTTGTACATTGCACAGCCATGCCAATATGAATTAATATGTTCTTGTAAAACACATTACTCGTGAAATATAATAATACATATAATAAATCCTTGTAAAATATAATGTATAATGTATAACTGTCTGCATAACAAAGAGTCTAAACATATGTTGTTTCAGTCGGATTCAGATTTCCCAAAGACAGGGTACAAATAGGAAATATTTAAAGGTCACATGCAACCAAAAAATCAAACATAATTAAAACACAATTATCACTTATTCATGACATATAATATACATTGCTGATTATGAAAAAAACATATAAAGAAAATTATAAACATACAATCGCAAATCAAAAGTGCAATATTTTGTATTTGGGTTTACTTCCCAAGAAACGAAGCAGCCGGGATACCGAACCAAGTCAGAGCTGGTGGGTGTGCAATCAAGTGTAACGGCTGGTTCATTTGCAGATGCCCTCACAGCTCATTGTGTGTGTATATATAGAGATGTTGGGTTTTGTAAATACATGCTCATTTTTTGTGCATAACATTTTGCAATCAACAGACATCATAACATGTCATGTGTACAAGTATCACACCTGCCTGTCTGTGTAATTACACAATGTGACAGAGACCGAACTCGGGCCATAAATCAATGCGTTTTGTTTATGGTGTATAGCCTGATAGGTGTTAAGTTCAAATTGCATGTGGTCAGTGATCAAAGTTGTGTATTGAATATTGTCATTAGCAGACAGGCAGGCAGACACATAGGTGTCAATAAAACAGACATTGAGTTTTGTCTGGGACAACGACATATCTATATCACAGTTAGAAATTCTGTCAACGCTAAATAATTACATTGCTTTAATGTATCGAACTGAGAAAGTGACTCGGTAAGAAGAATGTGTGGTGAAATAGACAAATGAAATTATATAAACAGTTAAATCGGTAATCTACTGTCATAACATATAAAAAGCTCGTGTCTGTGAAATATCAACAAAACATTAGTAAAATAGCTCACACCAAAGCCTTCACCGAGTATTCACCGGACAACCCGCTTCCAAGCTGCGCGAACCTATTTCACTGCGCATGTGCTATGAGCGCAGCCCAGATGTTGAAACCACTTTTTCCCCCAAGCGCTGGGGGAAAATTAGTGAATCGTTGAATCGATTTCGCGCGTTTTTCATCGCGTTAGTTTTCAACTTTATAAGTTGAATTTGCATTTTTGATGGTTTGTTTCGGTAAGTCAATACCGACAGGTATCGCAAAGTTGTGGTTTACGTTGTATGTGACCTTTAAAACACAATCATGCTGTGTCCGGTTTGATTTCAGTTACACAATGCAGTTATAAGTGTCTGTGTTGACTTGAGTATTCAGAGAACTATATATCACAGATTTGAGACATGCCATTTGTTTGGGTCATACATACAAAATACATCTTACCTTACATATACATTTCACAATGTCGGATAAAATAACGCCTATGTTTCTTTGACACCATGAAAAAATGCATGTGTGGATATAAAGAATGTGTTAATGCAAGTTAAAAGTGTATACTACAACCGGAATTCTATGACTGGAATTCGAATATGTTGTATCTCCGCATTTATAATTAACCCCATGTCGAATTCCCCTGTTGTCTATGGCTTAGTTCATAGGATCAAGAGATAAATATAACTTCGTTGGTTTGATAAACATAAGTTTGTCTCAGGTATAGTGCTCAAGACATGACATGGTTTGAAATGTCGACGACAGGAACCATTGAGAGTCATAAGTGAAGTGCTTGTTTCAAAACTCTTATTGTCAAAATGTTTGTATTTCTCACTAAATAATGGTCATATGGTAAGTTTGCTTTCTAGGCCAGGCGTAAAAGGAGCCTGGGAAGAAGTGTTCAAGGACCGAGATAAAATATGTTTAGCTATGCACTACCTGACTCTCATTAGTCCAGGACAAGTGTAATTTCATGAAACAATAAACCAATTATAGTTTGTTTTAACAAAATATAAATGTTTCTCTGTTTCAAATCTGGTGGCACATCGTTTTTCGATCTCACAACTTTTGAAGCCATTTAAGGCGAACTTGATGAAAAAGGTTAAAAGTGAAACGAAACGAAAAGCGAATCCCAAACAATATGTACGAACTATGTCAACTCAGCAAATAATGTTTCATCTCTTGAAGAAGAAGTAATGTGGTATTGGTCATTGTTGTATCACAAAGATGGCTATTTAAATGACTACTGCCATGTTAATGAATAACGAGTTGTCTTACTGCTCAGTTACCATTCTTCAAAATTCAGGCCTAGCTTTGGTTGCTGGTCGTGAATTGCCCGTGTTTTAATATTAATAAATACCATTATCGATTTGTATTCAGCAGATTATTTTAGAATTATAAATGATTATTTTTAGACTAGAATTATGTGATATGTTGCTAATGATTTACTGTCCTTCATGACATACTTATCATATTTACTAACTTTGTTCTCGTCACTATATGGCTGAACTATTGACAATGTGACGTTATATTTTTACTCACTCACTTCAAATTCATACCTGTCAACATCATGAACATATCATTCTCAAAGCCGCTGTTAATGTTAGCAAGATACCCGGAGAACAGTTTCTGCTGTTTGGTGGCGTTCTTCAAGTAGCTAGGGTCAGGGTAGCCACTACGGTTTGGGTCCTCTGGCCACTGCAAATGATTTGGTCAGAATAATACACAAAATCAGTTTGGTGTTTTCTATGAATCAAACAAACTGGAATAAATGGGAATCCATGTACTATATAATCATTTTTTGTGTTTACCATAATGATAAAAATCGAGTTTAATGAAACAAAAGGCGTTGGAGGTTTTACTTTACGCCATCTTCGTGAGATCTTTTGCCGTAATGTTTCTAATCAGGTAAAATGTGCCAGATGAAAAATATATTATTAATAATATCTACCAAAGAAAAATGTGCTTGCTAAGAAAAGGGTTGACGAAATATGTCAGCTTGTCGTTTAGAATATTAAAAAATATGAGCGCTATAAGTTTCTCTCGCTCGTATTTGTAAACTGGTCTCACATCTTGGAAGACACGTCCGTTAATATCTCTGTTTATCCAGCGCCCGCTATCAGTCCGAATGCTCCGACATCTTGGAATAAGGGGCTCTTTTTCCAGACCGTTGTGCTTATTCCATCTGTTACTCTCATAGCGAACGTTTCCTCCCTGAGATAACCACTGAGGGTAGATCGTCACTGTCGTATCACTGTATAGACCTTCTATTGTAAGGTACAAGGAGAGTACCAGTGTCCACTTCATTGCCACCCCAATGTAATGCTTCATAACAACGAAATGAACAGATTAGTGAGATTTTGACAAAATTATCTATGATTTTCACATTCCATAATGTCTGTACATGATAGGAAAGGTATGTAGGTGTGGTGATAATGAAATCCTGAGGTAGAGTGCATGTCACTGTCAGCCTAAACATTATGAGGACAAATTAGACTTTTTCATATTTTGTAAGATACGTGACAGTGATCATGTTGTCAACGCGGTTGTAAAGTATCTCTATCATTAACAGTGACGGGAATTTACTGCGATAGGGGAACTCTTTTCTACATTATCAAGCAGTAAGATCGGTTTACTCGTCTAAGCTATCATTTTATAATTAATTACTTTAAACAAATTAACCTGAACCATAAACTATGTATGTAAGTGTGTGTGTGTGTGTGCGTGCGTGCGTGCGTGCGTGCGTGTGTGTGTGTGTGTGTGTGTGTGTGTGCGTGCGTGCATGCATGCATGCATGTATGTGTTTACGTTACTATTTGCTTGTTTGTAAATTTGGGATTCTGTCCCGTGTTATAGATTTTAAATAGTATTGTTATAACAAATTTTTATTGTAAACACTAATTATTGTTACAGACCATTACAGATAGTATCGTTATGTTAAAATGTGTACATGATAACTTGCTTTGAAATGTAACTTTGTGTCGTTCTGTATATTTGTGTATATGTGAAACTTGGTCTTGTCGTTATATGGCTGACACAATGCGATGCGACGTTAAACCTCACTCACTTTTCTACTCCTAAATCTCACATAAACATTCATTCTTACAAGTATACGTAAGCAACTACGTAAACCTGAATCCATACGTATATGATAACACATACCAACCACTCTGCTGATCTTCTGTTGTAATGCTCAACTGCATTTCTATCATATTTCAATCACTTCACCATGACGTATAAATCATTATAGATGCCCCTCCCACACATGTATACTTATCGTGACTCAACGGATCAGGTCATCAATACAATTTGTTGTTCGTTGAAGGCGGGATCCTTGCTCTGGTGCAGATTTGAAAGTTTAAGGTTGCCGTTATTGATTGAAATGTAAAATGAAAATACACAAACACTATTCTCTGACACAAATCCTTGGGATTCTGATGTGGATCTTTCAGACACAGGGGAATGTGTACACATAAAGGATTATTCAAGATCACCTTGGCATGTGCAGGGTTAGGCCCTTTAGGGCTGGGCCCACACCCCCTCATCAACAGTTGTGTGATGTTTCATCAAACTATTCTCAAAGGCGCAGTGATCACGTAATCCCTGACAAGTATACTGAGTAAAAAAAGAAACTTCACATTCTTTCTTCAGGGCACTATAAAAGAACAAGAGATGGTAAGATGGTTAAATTGTTATTATTTCATTGCGGAGATCTGTGTGATGTACTCGATACACTGACAGTGCCATAATCAGTTCCATTAGGCTACACCGCCGTTCCCAAAACATGGGTATACAGAATGTCAAGTCACAAGAATAAAAATGCGAAATTTCTCAGTTCAATATCGTGTATGGCCGCACCGCACATTTACCACTGCCAAACACCGTCTCCTCATCGACTGCCTGATGCTTGTGAACACGTGGTTGGGGATTCTGCGCCATTGCTCTTGCAAGACAGCGCCAAGTTCCTGCAAATTCTGAGGTTGGTTCCCAAGACCACGAAGCCGTCTCCCAAGTGCATCCCAAACGTGCTCTATTGGATTAAGGTCAGGGGACCTCGATGGCCAGTCCATGACGTTGATTCCAGCGTTTTGAAGGAAATGTCGTGTCAACAATGTCGCGGCCGAGCATTATCATGCTGGAATTGTAGATCTGGGCCATGAGCCGCCATGAAAGGAACGAGTTCAGGGGTGAGCACCTGGTGGCGGTAAGCAGCAGCTGTGAGGTTTCCACAGATGACCAGAAGTCGGGAACGGTTGTTCCCACAGAAAGCACCCCACACCATGCAACTTCCGCCCCCGAATCTGTCGACTTCCTGTACACAACATTGGGCATACCGTTCACGACGTCGTCTCCAGACTCTATGCCTGCCGTCCGCGAATCTGAGGGTAAACCTTGATTCTTCGCTAAAGACGACTCGATTCCAGTCTCTCTGGGTCCATCGGAGGTGAAGTTGGGCCCACAGCAGACGTTGACATTGATGAAATGGCGTCCATATTGGCCCACGATATGGACGTCGAGAATGGAGATTGGCAGCCCGCAACCGATTTCGAATGGCCTGTGAGGACAGTCGACCTCTAAACATCTCAGCCTGGTTCGTGTAGCCGGCAGAAATCTGTCACGTAGGTGACGTAGGACGATTTGATTTGTCTTCTGCTCGTGACGTCACACGTGGACGACCCGACCTTTGGGCGATCAGAAGTGGTGCCAGTTTGTTGTAGACGACCTCGCAAGTCATACACAGTACGACGGCTGCATCCCATTGCTCTTGCGACGTCAATAACTGATCTTCCCGCTTGCAACATGCCAACGGCACGTTCACGTTGCACATTTGACAATCGTGGCATTTCAAGTACCGTTAGAACTGTGGTTTAAAGTGTTTTTTCAATTCTTGAGGCCAATGCAAACACGTGCATATGAAGAAAACTTCGATGCGAAGATCACGTGATCGACTGCACGTGCAAAACCTGATTTGGCACTAACGTCATTTGCACGACGAATGGATGGGTTTGAGTGGGTTTTGCTAAAGTTTTTCTAGAGTCGATAGATAGGGATCCCATTTCGGATACATAGATGTATCATCAGAGAAAAATTCTTTATTGACTCAGTATATATTTCGGCTCATAACTTAACGTCCCTGAACCTCTCAACGTTCTGATGCGTTTGTGAAGTAAATTATCATGATAATTTCTCACAGTATTGAACATCAGCATGAACAGGTTCCAAAGTCCTTAACATTGAAACTAGCAGTGAAAAGGATATGAGTGCTAAATGAAAGTCAGTGATGACCTCATGTATTAGCGGGGGCGGTGGAGTAGCCTAGTGGTTAAAACGTGACACACTCGAGTGGGGTGAGGTGAGGCTAGGGTAAGGCAGTGTTCATGAAATGAATAGAAATTGTATAAGTCACTGGCTGTATTATTGGTTGAAGAGCTGATCAGTCCCGATTGTGGACAACATTTATACACGATATATTACATTTTAGATAATACAAGTTAGTACTATATAAATGGTAAATAAACACATAATCATCAAAGAAATATTCACGCATACTTTGCAATTGAACCATTATATTTTCTTCGATAGATTCAACTCTGACACGGGATTAACAGAACAACAATTGATCGGGTCTGATGAACTTCCAACAGTAGAACAAATATATTTACAAAATTAGTAAAGAAGCAAACATATCTTAATAACATATCATATATTGTTGCTTTATTTACAATGTCAACTAGGGATACTACATTTCAGAATAAAGTTTCTTATCTTATGTCTGAGGGCACTAGCTTCCCTGTGATGAGGGCTACTGACGAAATGAATCCTTCCGCCTCGATATTGGAGTAATAAACTCGGACCAGGTTATACGTGGTGGCAAGCAAATAGGTCGGAACAACAACTTCCCACACTTCCCAATAAGTGTCCACCCAAAACGTGTCGGAATCATATAGTTTATAGCTGGCATAGAGAGGCGAGAGGTTAAACGTGACAGAAGACAGATTGTTTGTAACATTAACAGGGCGACTGACAGAAATTCTCAATCGTGCAATGTGGAATTCTTCATCTGGTAGTGATATCGTTGTCTCTGGAATGTTCTCCTTGATCTGTATAAACATATCAGCTCCGTAGTATGTGGTTTCATTGATAGTCATTGAAGGTAATTTTTCAGATGGGGTCTTGAATTTAAACTGACATGCTGCTTCTGGAGGAAGTTCAACCATTCCTTGGGTCTTTCCGATGTCGAAGGGTTCATTGAAGGTGATGACTGGATACCAGTGGTCCTTGATCGTGATGCAGGTAGCTTCTCCTGTTGTTGGTTTGATCCAGTTGTTTTTTAAAATCTAGCTTGACATTCTGTGATTTCTGGGAATAGCTGTGCAAAAGAATAACTGTTTCGTTATACAAGGGACTTGCCATTGCCAATGGCGACACCGTTCTTTCCTGTCCATTGTATTGACTAGTAGCTCTGACGAAATAGTAGTCTGAGGTAAAATTGTACCAAAACTCGAAAACGTCGACCAAACGTGTAGCGTTTCCTTCAAGGGTGAAAAGTGACTATCATGGCCTGGATATTTTTCGTTGGCTAACAGAAACACCACTGCTCTGTCAATGTATTCCCTGAGACTTAACTGGGTAAATCTGTGGGCATTGGAGTGGTATATTGTTGCAAAATCTACTATTCCAGACGGAGCAAATTTGTCAATCCCGATCACAATATCGCGACCATTTTCACTGATAACTAGTGGTATAATTTTCCCCTTTCTTGAGATAAGCATAATTTTCAACAAGATCGACAAATGCTACCAGACGGGCTTCATTCATTCCAGTTAGATTGTGAGCTTTCCCCGAAACAATCAATGTGTTGTTGGAATGGAAGGAAAACACATCTAAATAGTCTAGGGTGATGTCCATGAAATGCGCCACCTTTTTCCAGTACAAAAAGTTGTCTTTGTCAGCAAACTCCGTTTCTCCGTCAAGTGTGGGGCCAGCAACCTTTATGTTAAACCTTGCATGGAGCTTCTCCGCTACTGCTTTGTGGAATAGGGCAACAGCTGTGAAATTCAAGATGTCACCTTGAGAGTCCGGTTCATTTATGGGCTCGAAGTATGGTGGGATCTCTCCTTTGGTGTAATCATAAATTCCCTGCATCATCAACATCATGAAGTCTGCAGCAGCGTCGATGTTGTTGGGGAACTGACCCTTATGTTCGGACTTGTTTATCCAACTTGGATAAGAAACACCTGTGGATGACATGAAAGGAAAACAATAACAAAGGTTACAATAACCAATTTGTTGGTAAAATATTCAAAACATATTCAAGTGAGTGAGTGAGTTAAAATTTAACGTCACCAAGGCAATATTTCAGCCATATAGTGTTTTGCATACACAATAAACACAAGTTGTTAAATGTTTAGTCATCGACGGACTGTAAAATATCCCAGATGGTGTCTAAAACTAGCATGTAAATCTAAAACTATTATATTTAGGAAGACAACACAATATAAAACCAGGCTATAGGTCACCAGCAACTGAAGGTCAATCACCTTACTAGGGACCATGGGGACTTACAGTGCCTTCGCTACCTGCATGGACGAAAACATATGCAAGGAATGAAATACAATCGTCTAGATCACAAACACCCCTTAGCCCTTAGTATTTGTCGTCTATAATAACGCCGTGGAACAAAATCATCAAAATATCCTTCTTATTTTCCATCTGTCTTGTGAAGTCCATTCCCCTGCCGTGATATTGCTGGAGTGTTGCTAAAAGCAGCGTCAAACTATACTCACTCACTCATTCCATCTGTTTGGTATATTTATGAGTACATGGTTGCATCATTTTGGCTGTTTAAATATTTTCCATTTCATTTTCACATATTTCACATTTGTTTTGTGTACGTTTTCATCCTCTAAGTAGTCATATGGTCGGTAGATTACATCAGAGTTAAATATAACTTGCGTCAGAAAGACCATTTCTCTGACAGTCTTACATAAACTATTGAATCATACATTACGAATACTGACCTACAATATTGTTGTTAATGTGTCTTTATTCCAGAAACGACACTCAAGATCCTTGCAGCAATTCTTCCTCACAACGACTGTAATTATAGTGTCAATTCATCTTCAACATGCTCTAATGTTTGAGTGAGGGAATTGACAATACAGCCGCTTTTAACTGTATTCCAATTAAGTCACGGGTGTCAGTATAGGGAAGGAAAGATAGAAGTGACAGAAGTATGGTGCTGGGAAACCTAGAATCACAATCGGTTTCTGGAGTCCCCATGGGAAGCAACCCTGTCCATTTAGTTATCTGCAGTCAGACAAATGGGCCACTTATGTCCATCTCACATTGCACCAGTGCGTTAGAGGTCACAGGCCAATCTTACCTTTCGACATCATGATCATGTCGTTCTGGTAACCACTGTTAATGTTAGCAAGGTACTGTGAGAACAGTTCCTGTTGCTTGGTGACGTTCTTCAGGTAGTTCGGGTCAGGGTAGCCAATACGGTTTGGGTCCTCTGGCCACTGCGAACAATAGCGGTTGTTAAGACTGTTTTACTATAGAGTTCTGTTAACTTTCGTCACAGTAAAGTCTGTCAAGATAATTCAAGGGTTTTAGTAAATTCAAAACAATCGTTCATTCTTAAAAATATTTGCCAAATGTGATGATATGTAATTTTGTCGATTTAAATAACTGGTAATGTGACTGGCAGCAACAAAACGTATAGAATAACAATGTGAAGTCATCAATAAATTTTGAGGGCAACAAAGACAGTGTCAGTTTCCATTTGGAATGTTTGATATTAGTCATTCGCTGATCACACATTTTCAATGAGACGATCGTTAAGATCTATGTTTATGCAACGCTCGCTGTCAGTTCGAATGCTCCGACAGTTGGGAATGAGGGCTTTTTTATCAAGAGAATTGTTCTTGTTCCACCCATTGCTGTCGTAGCGAATGCGTTAGTTTTTTCAGATATTTATAATCGTAACCTGCTCTCACATCTTGGAAGAGACGGTCGTTGAGATCTCCATTAATCCAGCACCCACTGTCAGTCCGAATGCTTCGACATCTTGGGATAAGGGGCTCTTCATCCAGACCATTATGCTTGTTCCATCTGTTACTGTCGTAGCGAGCACTACGTCCCTGCGCCAGCCACTCGGGGTAGATCGTCACAGTTGTGTTGCTCGAAACACTGCCAGTTGGTAGACTCAGTGTGAAAAGAAACAGTGTTCACTTCATCTTCTGTGATATGTAAAATTAACAATTTAATGATTTGATTTTGGAGATTACAGTAACTGGGCTATCCATTAGAATGGGTAATCCCATTTCGTCATTCATTTCAATTGAGTACATTGATTTTCAAATGCTAAATAATCGTGACCTCGATAATTTCTGAACACTCTTAGATGAAAGATTATTACACTTTTCAATACATCCCCACAACTTTAATTACCAGTTTCAAAAAACTCCAATCATGATAATAGAAATCCACTTGCATAGAAAATAGCTGTGATTCAGAGTTCTAGTAGACATAAGAGCCTCTAGTACTGCTAGACGAAGTTCTTTCGCTCACTTTGCCAACAGATTGATTAATCATGGAAACCCTTGTACATCATGACATATATACACAGAAGGAAAGAAAATGTGTGTATATACTCACGAAAACGATTTCCCAAAAGTACCTTTGAATCAATGCTCTTTCGTTGCCCAAGGCTGAATCAACACCTCAGTATATGTGTATCGTTAATATGCGTGTTTCCACAATCATTACCTATCGTTATGGTAACATCAGACGATTCCAACTAAAGTCATGATCACATGGCTCGGAACCAGTCTATATTCTAGGTCAGCTATCTCTCAACCTATTGTTATTCTTTATTAAATGAATAAACGTTAGTACCTATTAATAATATGCATTAAGAAACAGATCAAGTGGGACGTTGTCACTTGACACACACGCTTGCTTGGAGATCATCTCAGGTTCAAATCGTAACTTTCGACTTATTTTTAAAAAAGTTAACATTTTTAAAGGTCCAAATAAAGTACCTTAGGTATGAGTATACCTGCATTCTACAATGGCATGTTACATCAAACCATCCTTGTTGTAGAACTGCAGTCTTGATCCATTCTTTCTGGCACTTCAAGGCAGCCATCTCAAGTGCTAGACTTGCGATGCTATTCCACTATATAGGGATGCCACATCCATACGGTATCTATGAGACGGTATTTATTAGGGATATAATGTTTCATAACTAGGACAATAGCTTGGATGTTGAAAAGGCTGCTGACATAACGTTCCAATATTGGTGCAGGGAATATATCACGGTTATATATGGGGAATAACGAATAGTTTCTAACAACAAAATTCCAACCTTTCAATATGTACCGTCACGAAACCAGGAGAAATACGACTTATAGATTGCATCATGAGATTGGAAGATGTGAGAGAGAGTAATTTGTCAGATTCTTGGACTGACCGTTCGAAATTCTAGGTCATCAGTATTTATGCAGAAAATGTTTGAATATCCAATTTGACACTATTTACGTAAGTAACTGCCATTGTGTACAACTGGCAATATACCTACGTGAACTACACACCCTTGACCCTTTACGATATCGTACGACATGTTTTTCTCACAGTATTGTGACTGTAGAGTGTTAATTGTAGACTAACAAAGCTTTGTCATTTTCAACATGTGAAATATAAATGTTTAAATGCCTGTATCCACGATGTGCTTCAACATAAAGTGACAAGCTGTAACTTTCACATAACGGATCAAAATATAAAGAAAATGGCTAGCAGTGCGGAATGGCGAGGTGAAATGTGGTTCAACGTTAACCGTGGGGAAATCAGTGAGTTAGCTGTATATTTAATCTCATCTCATTTACCACTTCGTTATGCTCGGATATTTCATCTAGTTGTGACAACATGCAAGAATCATCACTTTATAATGTGCTGGGAGAGAACTGATGGAAGATTATCAAGTCGTCCTTAAGAATACATAATGTGTTCATTATCTGTCCTGTGGCACGTGTCAGTGTTGTAAATAAGTGTCCAAAAGCATCTTCAGGTCATAAGGAAACACCATTCCCCCAAAACATTATCCAATTTGTACTCAAACGCTGTAGGAGTTTAACAGTTAACTAGCATAAACATTGGTCTATAGCTGGCAAGCACCTGCCTACCAATACATTACTATTAACATATTTACATGAACAACTAATATGCATGATACTTTATCACAGTCATGTTCTCTTTAATCAAATCAATGCAATGTTATTTCAGTATCTTATCATTTTATGTCGGATGGGACAAGTCTGGCAGCGACAAGAGCTACCGAAGTCACATAACCATTCTCCTGGTTGGAGAAGTTAACCTGGACCTGGATAGAAGTAGAGTTCAACAAGTTAGGAGGGATCTCAAACTCCCAAACGTCCATGTTGGTATACATGTCACTGTTGTGTCTATCTGAGTCATACAGCTTGAAGAAGGAGTCAAGAGTTTGGTTGTTGAGGGTGACAGATTTCACATCGTTGGTTTCAGTAGTGAGCCAACTGGTTGAAACTCGCAGATTCGCGCTTTGGATTTCGCAAACCGGAAGTGATATGGTTGTAACAGCGATGTTGTCCTTGATAGGTATAATTACATCTGTTCCGTAATATGTCGTTTCATTGAGAGTGACTTTAGGTTGTTGGTCTGACGGGATCTTGAATGTAAAGCGACATGTTGCTTCAGGAGGAAGTTCAACCATTCCTTGAGTTTTCCCGATGTCAATGGGTTCGTTGAAGGTCATGACCGGGTACCAGTTGTCCTTGATGGTGATACAAGTAGCTTCGCCCGTGGTCGGTGTGATCCAGTCGTCTTGGAAAATTAGCTTAACGGTTTGTGACTGTTGTGAATAGCTGTGAAGGAGAATGACGGTTTCATTCTTCAAAGGACTGGCCATTGCTAGCGGTGACACAGTTCGTTCTTGTCCGTCCGATTGGCTGGAGGTTCTGATGAAGGAGTACTCTGACGTGAAATTGTACCAAAACTTGAAAACGTCGACCAAACGTGTGGCATTCCCTTGCTGGGTGAAAAGTGAAAAGTTGAGACTGTCATGTCCTGGACGTTGCTCGTTAGATAACAAAAACACCACTGTTCTATCAATGTATTCTCTGAGACCAAGTTGGGTGAATCGGTGGCCATTGATGCAATATATTGTTGAAAAATCGACTATACCCGATGGAGCATCTTTGCTAATACCTTCTACTTTCCCGCGACCATATTCACTGATAATGATGGGAATAGATTTTCCTTTCTTTCGATGGACATAGCTTTCAAGGAGGTCGACAAATGCTACCAAACGGGCTTCATTATTTCCAGTGAATTTATGAGTTTTCCCCGAAACAACTAGTGAGTTGTATGAATGAAAGGAAAATACATCTAACTCATCTAATGCGATGTCTAGAAACTGTACCAGTTTTGGCCAGAAGGAGAAGTTATTTCTGTCTACGTCTGTATTATACCCTGTCATTGTTGGACCCGCCACTTTGATGTTAAATCTGGAATGGAGTTTCTCAGCAACTGCTTTATGATAGACGCTAACAGTGGTGGTGAAATTCATGATGTCCCCTTTAACATCTGGTTCATTGACGACTTCAAAGTAGGGCGGTATCTGACCTTGTGTGTAGTCATAAACTCCTTGCACCATTAACATAATGAACTCTGCAGCAGCATCTATGTTGTTTGGGAAATGACCTTGATGTTCTGACTGGTTCATCCAGTTGGGCCAATTAAGAGCTGAAAAATATGAATGAACAACACATGGATACATACTGTTGCAGTGACGTTCTTCTTTTCGTCGAAATGTACTCGAATTATAATAACGGATATGGATACCTCCCGGACACTTATATTTATATCACATGTGCAGTCCGTTTGAGTCAGAAACAGACCGATGAATTGCAAATTTGATCATTGTACAAAATTGCCACAGAAATATAAATAGTACACATGTTTATCATTTACTAATACCCAACAGCTTTTTTATATTTGAAAATTTTCCGGACTCCACCAAAAAAGTTGTTTAAGAAACTATCATCATTGAAAACGCAAAAGTTGTTATCTGTCGCGGCGGGGTGAAACCTCAGAAACGGAACAGCCAGTCATGGCGGGGGACATCTCAAAATCTATTCTGGGAGACCTGTCGGTTCCTCGTCCGTCGTAGTGGCATAGTCACGACTTAAAGGGATGACAAGTGGTGCCACAGTTGCCTGTTGTAAGCCATCCCGAGACCAGTAACCTTGTTCAATGACGTTAGCTACCTTGTTGACACAGTTTTGCCAAGTTTCAGTCGTGATTTTGTTAAGGGATTCCTTAACCAAAACCTCTACGTCACGTAATCTAAAAGTTGTGTTTAAACTGGCAATATCTCCTTTGACAATACCCCATATCATTTCAATGGGGTTAAGGTCACAGTGATAGGGTGGAAGTAGCAGAATATCATGACCCTTACTTTTTATGTAACTGTCAACTTTGTAGAAAGGTTCACCTTTGTGGGTTTTTATGATCTCATATTAGCTGATGCTTCGTTGCCTTTGAAGGCCTTGCGATCTGAAATTTGTCGAGCCATGATATCATATCAGCTTTTCGACTGTTCGATGTCGGGGCTTTACTGTCGGGGTCCTGTACGCTGTGGTATGGGGCATTGTCCATTACGATAAAAGACTTCTCTGGTAGAGCTGGTACCAACTTGTTTTTAACCCAATCGAGGAAAACCGCACCATTCATCTCGGAATGGTAGTCTCTGTTATCTGTGGACTTTGCCCTGAATACCAAGTTGCAGCCTGGGAGAAAGCCTTTGCTGGAGCAACCAACATGGAGAATGATTAGTCTCTCTCCTTTCCCTAGAGGCAGCTTTCTACGTGACCCCTTATCACCCCCATCGGGTACCCACTGACTGCTGGCAGTGTGCGAGGCATTGACCCAGGTGTCGTCCAAGTACACTGGCTCGAACCCTTCCCTGCGCTTCTTCTTTATATAACCCAGAGAAAATTATTTCTCAAGCGAACGCTATCAGGGCGTTCACCTATTCTCCCCCGAAATTTTCTTATAACGATACCCGAAAGAGTGTAAGAGTCGCCAGAGTGTGTACTTTGATACTCTGAGGTTGTGTTCTTGCTTCAAATGATTTTTAAAAAATTTCAGCAACATGTATTTGTTTTCAGAATAGAGCTTGTTGATAGACTGCCTTACAAGGTTCTTTTGAAAGTTGTCCAAATGTTTTAATTTGTGTGATTTTGACACGACCCCTACCTGCTTCGCATCACTCTCACGATGTTTGTGTTCCAGAACATTTGTCAGTACCCTTGCTGATACTCCTAAAGCTTTTGCTGCCCGCTTACGGAATTTATTAATGACATAAAATGGTCTGCCCCTTTCGGCTTCAGCACGGAAAAAATCGTACACTTTGATCATCAACTGTTTCACGTCAGCATTCAACTTCATTTTTCATCAGGCATGTGTATCCCGTGCACGACGAGGAACCGACAGGTCTCCCGGAATAGATTTTGAGATGTCCCCCACCATGACTGGCTGTTCCGTTTCTGAGGTTTCACCCCGCCGCGACAGATAACAACTTTTGCGTTTTCAAAAATGATAGTTTCTTAAACAATTTTTTGGGTGGAGTCCGGAAAATTTTCAAATATAAGAAAGCTGTTGGGCATTAGTAAATGTTAAACATGTGTACTATTTATATTTCTGTGGCAATTTTGTACAATGATCAAATTTGCAATTCATCGGTCTGTTTCTGACTCAAACGGACTGTATGTACCACCAGTACATTTCTTATCATCTTTGAGTGGCATTTTAGAAGTTGGGAACTACTTTCCATAAAGTTTGTTCTATATAGTACATTTCTTGTTTTCAGGATGCACTTACATGTGGACACCATGATCATTTCGTTCTTGTACCCACTGTTAATGTTGGCAAGATACGTGGAGAACAGTTCCTGTTGCTTGGTGACGTTCTTCAGGTAGTTCGGGTCTGGGTAGCCACTACGGTAAGGGTCCTGTGGCCACTACAAAATAAACAATTTCGATGGATGATCGTCACTGTCGATTTGCTAAAATTACATGTGTGGAAATACTAATGTAGATATTTCTAATCGTGTTTATACGAAAAGAATGATTATACCATAGATACTTATTCACAAACAACATACACGTACAGATTCTAATAAATCTGAGCAATGTATTTCAAACACCACTGAACATTCCTGCCAAATAACCAACCTAAACATGACCAGCATCCATCCTTCAGTTAAATGTCTATCCAAGTAACAATGGATCAATGACTCCAATTAATAATATATAGATCTAAACAATATATCAATGCGATATGGTTTTACAGGGATAAATGGAAATTCAATGAAAAGAACATAATGTTATGCATGTAAAGTCAAAACAATATGTAATGGTTATATTGTTATAATACAGCAAATCTGATTCAACATCTCGTTCTGCAAATGTTGCATACAGGCATATATAGGAACAAAAGTCTCACATCTAGAAAGAGATTATCATGTATATCTCTATTCATCCAGCGTCCGCTGTCAGTCCGAATACTGCGACAACTTGGTATCAGGTATTCATGTTCCAGACCATTGTGCTTGCTCCATCTGTCAGGTTCATAGCGAACATTTCCTCCCTTTGCCAGCCACTGAGGATAGATTGTCACAGTCGTGTTACTGTATACATTGGTTATCGATAGACTCAAAATGAAAACAACTGGCGTCCATCCCATTTTCCCTGATATGTAGTATTTCCCAACACTCGTTCAGTTGGAAGAGACTTATAGCTCAGACGTCTGCCGCTGATAAGGTATCGCTGACCTTGCTACACCACACTGTTGGAGCGTGTTCAGTTGCACAGGGTCAACTGTTATTCAGGTTTGTCAGTAGGGCTGACTATTCTATATCTGATTATACATATACATGGTTTACGGTAATGCACTATTTTCGCCCACCCACCAACATGGCCCTAACCAAACAAACTACAAGTACACCGATAGATTACGGAGACTATACTGACGGAAATTACACATATGTCTTTAAAGATGGATTTGGCGATGATGGGATCGACTCATTACTTGAAATAGGTGTTACTACATGCAAACAACATAGAAACAGAGAAACAAATATTCAGTCGAACAAGATCAAAACATCGTCTGCTTTCAGATCGTCACATCGGCAATATCTCATCCATATCGTGACGAAAACAATTTATACAATACAAAGTGAAAACATTTTGAACATTAAAACCTGTCGACGATGGACAGTAAAAATACTAGAGAATCACATACATGAATATAAAACTAGCGAGCAAAGCTGAAATATTCCAATTAAAGAAGACAATACAGTATAAAACACGGGCTATAGATCGCCCACAACTGAAGGTAGATCACCATACTAGGAACCATGGGGACTTACATTACTTTTGCTACCTGCATGGACCCTAGCTGGATATATACCATCCCTTCAGCCGCTGGCGATGGTAGGAATATTTAGCCGGCAGTTAAAAGAACAAAAAATACTATGATTACAATGTGGCAAATTTACATTTTACTTTGAAAGTTTTGGGACTTACGTACCCTCTCAGGAGGACAATAATTTTACAGTACTTTTACCCCCTTTGAGGGCACAGCCACTAACAATCTAATCTAAACTACCAATTATCAAATATATATCTATTAACAAACTATTCATCAAAATTTATCTGGCAATTCTATTTCTTTTAAAAATTCAATGATTAAATGATAATTAACATTAAATAGATCCGTCACTGTTTTGACATTAAAATATTGCTGCAGTGTGATGGCAAACTCAATACAGTAAAGCAAAACATGCTTGACTGTGATTTTTTCACCACAAGGGAAGTTGGGTTATGAATTCAAACAAAATGACATATTTATGAGAAATATGTACTGGTCCAAATTTAGCGGTAGTATACCACATTAAATTACAGAAACTGCAAAATTCAATTAAAACCGTTCTGCTATTTTTCTAATAGATATAATATCGTTGAAAAAATCATTTAGCCTCGTCACGATCCCTCTTGTCCATTACACTGCTTGATCTACTTACACTCACACACTTTCACACATGTGTGTATATATAGTGGTTACAATATCCACTCTTAATTAGGTTGGACGTCGGACACGTATTCATGCACAAAAGACACATCATGTAAGTAAATATGTCTTGTTTTAATCATATTATTGTCAACTGAGAAAATAACGATTTAAGACAATATTTGTCATTGCTCTATGTCTCAGGTAAAAATATTTTTGACGATGTCTACTGAAGAAATGTATCCCTCCATCATGATGTTGCAGAAATATACCCTGACCACAATTTCGGTGTATATCAAGAATACCCAAACTCTAAACTCGGTTCATAATTATTGAGAATTTTTCATGTCAGTTTGAACTCCTAGGTTTATTCATAAGCTCCACTGATGATGGAATTCTGCTATGAGTCCAAGGGAGGAAACTCCTGTCTTTCTAGACATGTCAGATTAGAGTTACATCCCCTGAAATTTAAGCAGAAGACATTTTCCAAAACAATGTCCAAAATCGCTGCTGAAGAGAAAAGAAGGTTGATTTTAGATTTGTACAATGGACGTATCACTGATGTCCATAAACTGTCAGAAAGAGCAGACACTCCTCTATCAACTGTGTACAGGGTTAAGAAGAATATTGAGAGTGGAGCTGGAATTGAGCACAAGAAAGGAGCAGGGAGGCCCAGAAAAGTGGAATTTGGAGATCGGGTCAGACTTGGTATTTTGGCTTCATCTATATCCAAGTAAAGTATATCCAACATCAGGTATGAGATGCTAAATAGAGGGTCACCTAGTGTTTCTAAATCCACTATCAGACGAAGTTTAATTGATCTTGGATGGGAGAAAAAGAGGGGAACGCCGACTCCAGACATGAAAGACAGACATACGGAAAACCGTGTTTTGTGGTGTCAGGACCGTGAAAACTTTGACTGGAGCAACATGATTTTCACTGATGAAAGTTCAGTCTGGGTGTATCCAAATAATGTTAAGATGTGGACAAAATCTGATTCAGCACCGGCGTACCACAGGCCGAAATACATTCCCAAGTTTCATGTGTTGGGTGGAGTGTTGTTACTGGGAACAACTCCTTTGTGCGTGTTTGAGGGAAATGTGACTAGTGAACGGTACACAGACATTCTTGAGAACTTTCTTCTTCCAAATGCAGGAGTCTTTTGTGGGAATGATTGGATTTTGCAACAGACCAATGACCTAAAACACACGACAAAGCACTCTAAACAGTGGTCCCAAGAGAAAAACGTGACATTGCTCCCATTTCCCAGCTACAGCCCGGATCTGAATCCCATTGAGAACATTTGGGGGATGATGAAAGAGAATGTCAACCAAAAGGGACTCAGCAAACTTGAAGACATGAAGAGAGAGGTAGTGCGATATTGGGACAGTATCCCCCATGAAACTTTAACCTCTCTGATAGCGAGTATGCCTACCCGCATTAGACTGTGCAAGGAAAGTAACGGGGATCTGATAAAATATTAATTTGATACCTGCAGAAATCCACAGGGTATGTACAAGTATTGACTACTGAGTAATTTCAGATTTCACTCATTATATGCTTTTTAGTAACGTTCGTTGGATTCTCAATAATTATGAACCGAACTGTAGGTGTCGCCCACACATCGGCCAGACTGATGCAATATATATCGGTGACATGAAGAGGTTAAAGTTGCAGATGACAGAAATATTCGTGCAAAGGTAGTTGTCCCATGTTGTATTTCGTACGAAAAACCGCATCGAGCTTGCTTAAATTGCCCAGAAGCATGTGGTTGTCTCACAAACGGTACTGGAATCTTCATAATCCGCGACACACATCACATTATCGTGTGCAGAGGGAGAATTGCTAAACGATTATCAAGTCGTCCTTTAGAACAAACACAGATTTGCCCCCATGTGTACATAATGTGTTCATCATTCTTTACTACGGCATGTGTCAATGTTGTAGTTGTAATAATTGTCCAAAAGCACCTTCCGTTCATAAGGAAACAACTGTATTGGTTTTTCCATCACAAGGAATAAATATTTTAGTGTCAAAACAATTAAGCATCTTTTTTTATAATGTAAATTATCATTTAATAATTGGTTTTAACAAAAATGGAAATATTGGATAAATTGTGAACAATATGTTTTGTAAATAGATAAATGCTATTTTATAAATGGTAGTTTCAATCAGAGACTGCGATTATTAGTGGCTGTATCCTCCAAGGGGGTTAAAGTATCCTCATGAGAGGATACGTAAGTCCCCAAAACGTTCACAGTCAATTTCGCTCAGCCATACTTTTGTTATTTTAATTTACGACTAAATTTTCCTACCATCGCCAGCGGCTGAAGGAATGGTGTATATCCAGCTGGGTCAATGCAGGTAGCAAAGGTACTGTAAGTCTCCATGGTTCCTAGTATGGTGATCTACCTTCAGATTTATAGCCCGTGTTTTATATTGTATTGTCTTCATTAAATAAAATGTTTTAGCTTTCCATGCTGGTTTTATATTCATATCTGTGATACTCTAATATTTTTACTGTTCATCGTCGACAGGTTTACTTTCCCAAATGTTTTCACTTTAAATTGTATAAATTGTTTTCGTCACGATATGGCTGAGATATTGCCGATGGGACGCTAAATATTAACTCATTCGTGTAAGAGTTTAACAGTTAATTGGTTTACGTATTGTTCCATAGCTAGCAAACTTCTGCTACTGAATACCTTAGTACTGACACAACAACAAATATGCATGATACATTATAACATGACATTGTTCTTTTTATTGAAATCAGTGCAATGATTTTGAGCATCATATCATTATGTCGGATGGGACAAGTCTGGCAGTAACAAGAGCTACCGAAGTCACATAACCGTTCTCCTGGTTGGAGAAGTTAACCTGGACCTGGATAGAAGTAGAGTTCAACAAGTTAGGAGGGACCTCAAACTCCCAAACGTCCATGTTGGTATACATGTCACTGTTGTGTCTATCTGAGTCATACAGCTTGAAGAAGGAGTCAAGAGTTTGGCCGTTGAGGGTGACAGATTTCACATCGTTGGTTTCAGTAGTGAGCCAACTGGTTGAAACTCGCAGATTCGCGCTTTGGAATTCGCCAACCGGAAGTGATATGGTTGTTACAGCGATGCTGCCCTTGATAGGTAAAATAACATCTGTTCCGTAATATGTCGTTTCATTGAGAGTAACTTTAGGTTGTTGGTCTGATGGGATTTTGAATGTAAAGCGACATGTTGCTTCAGGAGGAAGTTCAACCATTCCTTGAGTTTTCCCGATGTCAATGGGTTCGTTGAAGGTCATGACCGGGTACCAGTTGTCCTTGATGGTGATACAAGTAGCTTCGCCCGTGGTCGGTGTGATCCAGTTGTCTTGGAAAATTAGCTTAACGGTTTGTGACTGTTGTGAATAGCTGTGAAGGAGAATGACGGTTTCATTCTTCAAAGGACTGGCCATTGCTAGCGGTGACACAGTTCGTTCCTGTCCGTCCGATTGGCTGGAGGTTCTGATGAAGGAGTACTCTGACGTGAAATCGTTCCAAAACTTGAAAACGTCGACCAAACGTGTGGCATTTCCTTGCTGGGTGAAAAGTGACCAGTTGAGACTGTCATGTCCTTGACGTTGCTCGTTGGCTAACAAAAACACCACTGTTCTATCAATGTATTCTCTTAGACCAAGTTGGGTGAATCGGTGGCCATTGATGCAATATATTGTTGAAAAATCGACTATACCCGATGGAGCATCTTGGCTAATACCTTTTAC